TCTGAAAAGTATTTTTTTTACTGCCTAAAGAATAGAGGCTTTTCTCCACTGTGGTCTTTGCTCCATATCTAGATAGTCAAAAGGCCAAAGTTAGCTTCCGTTTCTTGTAAGTGAACAGATTTTAAGTATTGGCTCTGTAGTGGTTGTGCATAGACTGGTCTGACATTGCTTATGGTATGCGTTATATAGAAAGATTCCGCTTTTCCTTAAAAAGAAAATTGTTGTGTCTGAACCTGGTTCTTCATAGTCCTGCAGCTTATATAATCATTTACATGAGAGCAAAGCAGGGAGAGCTCCCTGAGCACCAACTCGGAACAAGCTGCACACAGTAAAAAAACCCAACCCCTTAAGAGCTTGTTCTTGTCCAAGGTACCGGCCTGGGAGAATTAAGTCGTCTTTGTGGGAACAAGTGGAACTGAGTAAATGCTACACAGACTTTTGTGTTTTAGGAGATGCTTAAACTGCAAGCAACAGCAATGGCAATGTGGAGCTGATTGCTGTCTGTCTTGAGCTTAGCAGGCATCTGTGCTGAGTGTGATTTTGAGTAACAAGTTGCTGTTCTTTGCATTTGCTGCAGCTCAGTCTCTGCCTCCTCCTCAAGGGCCTTGGAGGCCTGGATGGGAAGCCTCCTACCTCTCACCTACACAGGTCCCAGACACGTTGCTGTGTCCCCAAAGCAAGTGGCAAAGATGGATGGGAAGGTGGGATGACAGAGTACTGTGGTTTCACCCTCCTGGCGTGCTGGCTGTTCAGGCCGTCCCGCTGCAAATTGGGGTAGCAACAGTCTGTTGAGGCCTGCTCAAACCTGGGAGGAGATGGACTTCGCTGGCGCTGTCCCTGTGGGCAGGTCAGGTCCCCCAGCAGTCTTTACGTGACCTGTGTCTGTGCAGTTTGATGGACCCTCCTGTGCTTAACCATTGTCAGGAACTCGTCAGGAAGTGCAGGCTGGCATTTCAAGTAGGAACATCAGATTGAGGGGAGGAGAGGTAATGAGGTGCAAGGAGAAAATCCTTCCCTAGGGAGCAAATCAAACCTGATACCATTGTAAAGGGTAATGAGAAATGCACTGCCAAACTCAGGAAATTCACGGCAGATGCCTAGGGGAAGTGAAACTTAGTATTCCTATTTAAGACAGCAGAGAGGGGATGCTAGTGTTTTGGTCTGCTGGTTAAGTCAGGGGTACAGATTGCACACCTGCCTTTTGCATATGGCTTTGCTGCGCGTTTCCTGAGTCCTTGGGCAAGTCATTTCACTTCTCTGTGCCATAAGGTATGTCTGCATAGACGTATGCAAGTCAGTGCAAGTGAACTGTGCCTATCCACCCACACGGCGTGCTCTGAAGCTGTGACTGTATCTGTACTGCTAAATAAAACAGGGCCATGTGGCACGTCCAGTCATTTTCTCTGCATTGAATTTGGCCTCTTTTTTTTTTGATCCCACATAATGCCTCTCTGGCCCTAGGACAATACTGTGGTTTTTTGTTTTGTTTCTCTGTTCGTAATATCTTAAATAATAAAAGCTCTTGTTGCAGAGGTGTTTCTGTAGTGTGAAACTGGAGATTCGTGTTGCATGTTGTGACATGTGGTGGGAAAGCCTGCGTCTGTGTCTGGAGGAGCAAAGCCTGCTCTAACAGGCCGAGGGTGTAGGAGGAGGCTACAGGGTGAAGGGAGCCAGACCCAGACACTTCCCTCTTTGCTGCTCTTGGGAATCCTGTCCCCTGGGGCATGCCTGGGTTTCGCTTGGAAGTGTGAGCCAAGCAGTCCCAGGAGCACGTCAGGAGCGTGCGGAGGATTGAGCCGTGTGGGCCGTCTGCGGTCCTGGGAGGGAGTTGCTTTCTGGCCCTGCTCTATTTAGCAGTATAGATGAAGGCAGTGTGGCCATGTCAGCATGGCTGTGAGCCCATGGCGGTAGGTTGGGGTATGTTGTTTCACACACAGTGCTGCACAGCTGAAGGAGCCATAGCCGCAAGAGCTCACGTCACAGACACAGCAAATTATTAGGTGACTGTCATAATTACCAACCTTACCAGGATACCATGTAGCTTAATTAAAGTTTATGAGAAGCATCATGATGCTCTGCTTGGAAGCCCTGGACTGGTGCAGTATAGGATTGCCTGGCATAGTGTTTTTCTACCTTTAACAATTTGCAGATTACCTAAAAGTTTTCCAGGAGGAGCATGGATTCCCTACAGCAAAAGACCTGTTGGCAGTGGGTTCTTGGTTTTCCTTCTTGTGCCCTCAGAGGCCCTCAGGATCCAAGAGCCTCAGAGATCCAAAAGCCGCCAGTTAACAGCTGTGGACATGGGGGGAACACTGGACATGACAAGAAGAGGGACAGAAGTGGATGCAGCCCATGAGGTCACCGTGACACTGCCAGCAGCAAGAACTGATGTGTTGCTTGGTGCCCAAGGGATGAGGATGCAGATGGGGCTGGAAGTGCTGGCGCTGCGAGGGTCATGTCCTAGAAGGACAAGATGTTATTACCCTCACTCACCATCCTGTTGACGTGCACTCAGTGCTGATAGCAATCTTTCGTGTCTGCAATCTTGGTCTCATCTGTGTGTCACCTCTCATCCTGTGGCAGTTCTTCCCCCGCCCCACCGCAGGCACCACAAGAGGTTTTGCTGCTCCCCAAGTTATGAGGAGAGGAAGTGTTTTCTCCATGGGGCTCTCTGCCATTCATTCTAGCTCCCAGAATTGGATCTGGGGCTAATGCTGCTTGAACTGCCTTCAGGCTCCTTGCAGGGTAGCTGTGTCATTTTTCTCCTAAAAGTCTGGTTTGGCATTTTACTTTAATCTTAAGCTGTGTGAGTTGCATGGATATGAGACAGTGCGTTGTGAGTCAGAGCAAAGGCATTCAGCATCACAGTGCTCCACTGGAAAAAAAAATAGGAAGGTAACTATTACAGTATTTACAGCATCATTTTTCATATTTTGCAAAAGCTTGTTTGAGCTATTCAGCATAAAAAATCCGTGATTGTAGAGGAGCTGACTCATTAAAATAGACTCTGCTTCTCCAGAGAACCCAGAGGAAAACACTATTCTTTAATACATCTAAATTCACTCGAGTGTGGCTTGTGCTATCAGTTAAATGACATAGAAAATATATTTTGTCCCTGCATTGTTCCTGCCAATTCCCTTTTTCTTTAGTGCTTCCGCTAAGTTGTCTTCCTCCTGTCTGTAATATAAATGTAAGGAGAAATGGCACCTTTCCACTCCGCAGGTTTGTCCCCTGTGGATGTTCTTACCTGCCAATAGCAGCAACTGCAAATGTTTTCTGCTTTTGGTCATATGAGTCACATGGAGTGAAAAAAGCTGAAAAAGTATGAGCCAAAATGTGTTTCTTTCTGTTTGTCATTAGTGTTTGGTACATACTGGTTCCTGGGTCACCCGAATACTTATGCAGAGCAACTCACAGAGGGTAAGTGATGAGCCCAGGAGGGAGGATTTGATGTGCAGAATCCCTATCATGGACCGTGCTAATGGGGGAGAAGAGCAGCTGGCCTCATCTTGTATGTTAAGCATCATTCCTCTGCTAGATGCAGGAGCATCGTGTGGTATTTGCCCACGAGGCATTTGATGGTGCTGTCTGCACAAAGTGGCAACAGAGACGGTATTTGGATTTGGGAGAAGCAGAAAAATCCTTGAAACAACCTAGCCCTGGTGAAGGAGCAGAAGCTGGTTATGAAAATGCAGTTCCAGTAAGAAGTAGGAAGCAGTGGATGGAGATGCTCTGTTGCTTCCCTTCCAGACTCATGTTAACTGTGTTTTAGTCTGTGCTGGCTTTCCCGTGCCGTTCCTACACTTCTCTCTTCAAGTGTCTGTCTTCTACAGCAGCAAGTAAAGACTCTTTTTGCACTGTGAACCAGGTACGTCCCGGGGGTCAGCGGCCAGCACCAGGACAGCCAAGCTCATTTGTTTAGAGGATGTCCTTGCGAGATGTCTCACAGTAGAAGAACAAGCCCTGCATGAGTAATGGGGACCTGCACTCTGGCTGCCTCTGCCTGCATGTTGCTCATCGTGGCAGTCCTCTTCCTTTGCCTACCTGGCAGGGATGTGAATCAGCTCCCGAAACAAGTTCAGCAAACTGTAAATTCTAGCTGCCTGCCTGGCAGGATGCCGCTCCACATCTGTTTGCAAAGCAGGAAAAAATGGGCTAGCTGACCTTGCAACTGAAGTGCCTTTTTTATCCGGTTGGTGGGATCTTTTGTCAGGGTTTTGCAAGCCAGTTGGATCTGTTTTGTCCATATGAATGGCCCTTGTGCTACTTGTTTCTTCTTTTTTTTGCTGATTCTGCAGTCCTGTACGCTCTCAGAGGAGTCTCGAGGAGCCCATATGTTCCTCCAAAGAGAGGCTGTGGGAGGAACAGTGACTTGCTGGAGGCTCAAGAGAATGGTCCTTTGAGAGAAGAGGAATGTGACATCATGAGAGACAGGCCTTCAAATTTTGATATAAAAGGACTTTCAGAACATATTACATTCAAGGCCTTTGGTTTTGAGGGGTTGAATGAAGGTTCATGACATTTTACTTTTATGTCAAGAAAATGCTCGTATGTTACTTCTTTCTTTTTTCCTTTTCTATTTTATTTCGTATCTGATTTTGAGTTCATCCGATTTTCTGATTCACTCTCTAGTTATAATTTCTATGAACTCTGGCTGTAATTTCTACGAGTTCAATCTCTGCCTGGGTTTAGATTCATAATCATTAGTACGGGGAAGTACAGGGTTAAAATGATAAAATAATTTTGTTAGAAGGCAGATTATTTTTTCCCAGCTTTTCAAGGTCTAATTATTTTGCACCTGATCTAGTATGCAATTGATAAGATGAAAATGTAAATTTACAGGTTTAGTATTCAAGGTATTTTTCATCTGATCAAAGAAAAGGAAGCATTTTGCAAAATACAAAGCTATTTTTCTTGCTTACGTCCAAAGTTGTGTGGATGTGTTCAGGCCATTGGGAAATCCACAGTGCATCCACTAATAAGTGTTTCATTTTCTGCAGGGGGTCTGGACCTTATCTTCATGCCGGGCCTCGGGTTTGACAAAAAAGGCAACAGACTGGGAAGAGGGAAAGGATATTACGATACTTATCTTGAAAGGTGTGTGCAACATCCCAGTGGAAAGCCTTACACAATTGCCTTGGCTTTTAGAGAACAGATTTGTGAATCGGTGCCTGTGACAGAAAATGATGTCCAAATAGATGAAATCCTGTATGAAGACTGCTAAAGGTTATCTTGATGCCAGCTGTTCTGCAGAGTGACCAACTAAAGACTTCAGATCTCTTAATCACAACTTCTTAATAGTTGTGTTTGACTTTGGGAGCAATAAAGTAATTACTTTGATTTGAACAAAAGAAAACTATACCTATGATCACAGTAACGAGGACTGCATGGATTTGCTTCTAATTGGAAAATACCTGATGTGAATTCTTGTTGTAGAATCAGCAGAAACATGAATGTGTGGCTGTCTGTTTATTATGGTAAGGATCATTTCCTCTCATCATATATTGGAGCTCCAAGTTTCTTGATATTCAGCAGTTTTATTGCTCCAGTTTAGAACTGAGCTGTCTGCTAATGACATTTCTTGATGCATTCTGAAATCAGATATTTTGCTATGGCAAAAGTTAAGAACACTGTCCTTTGTACTTGAAATTATATACATCCATCAGCCAAAACAGAGACCACCAAATAAAACACATAGTAAGCTAGGCAAAAAGTGGTGGTTGGGAGAAAGCCTTATTTGATTTTAGTGTCTACAGTAATTTTGCTAGTGTATTTGGCTTCTTAAAGTTGTCTAATAATAAAGACTGAAAAACAACATCCATGGTTTTGTTACACATTTATTTTGTCTGAAATTAAAAATGTCATCTAAAAATTGGTCAGTGAATTCTCAGTCTGAAAAACAAATGTTTCTTTGTAAAATAATTCTCAAAAATTATTTTAACCTGGATAATTTTGTACAAGAGCCATTCATAATATCCTGGAATAATATGGGAAATACTGGTGCAGTGTTAAAGGTTAAAGAGAAGCTAAGAATTACGCAGAACGGTTTTTGTGGAGCAGGGTTCTGGGTGGGAGGTTTTATTTACCCCAGGGCAGATAACAGCAATCGCATCTGGTCGGGGTGATGATGTCAAGGAGCAGGTTGGAGGAAGATGGACCCGCTTTCGTCCTGGCCACAATAAACAGCTCAGAGCAGGGCGGGGGAGATGTGCCAAACTTGTCGGTCCCGTGCGGGTGGGTGGGAATGGCTGCGGGGCTCGCCGGGGCCTCTCGTGGCACCTACGTGGCCTGCACGAGTTTTGCAGTGGTTTTTGCTGCAGAAATATATGACCCTAAGTACACACTGCGTGGATGAACTGCAACTGAAGCACCTCTCAGTCTCGGTGTCTGCACCGTGGTGGAAATATCCCAGAAAAGTGCCCAGAAAAATGCACTACCCAGTCAGAGAGACAGCACTAGGTTTTTAGAGTAAATCTGAGTTTGGGGAATTCAGGCAATAGTAAGAGGGGCCAAATACTGACTTTTTTGCCTTCCTGCTTAGTTCACAATCCTACCTGCGTTCTTCAGCCTGACTTCACTCCTTCTATGCATGTTTAATTCCTCTTTCAACCAGTAAATTATTTTAAGCAAAATGCTCTGCGTCATCGTTAAAAATTCCATGAATTCTCAAGGACTATCTGCAGAGCAGAATGCCCTTAAGACTTCCTAGACAATAACTGTTTCTGTGAACAAAACTGTGCCTGCAGTAGATGTGAACCTTCTTGTCTCAGGCTGCCTGTATTCGGTTTTATTTGTGTTCTGATAATACAGTGACCAATTAAACCCTCTTGCTCTGGGTTAGTGTAAGCTCAGCAAATGCAGCCTTGCTGGCTCATGCTCCCTGGTCCTTCTAACTCCTGTGGTAACGGGTCCCTGTCACTTGGGTCAACACCTGCAGGACTGGCCTGTCAGGCTTCCCATTGGTGTTACAGAAAGGGGCAACTAGAACAAGGCAGTCAGTAGCGGTTTGTAATATCAGCTATTTAGTAAAATGTTGGTGCTCAGACACGGCCTTCTGTCAGTTTGATACCAACCTAACTCATTCCGCTAACCACAAGCTGAATTTTTGTACTTGATGAGCTGCAGACTACCCACAGTAAGATATTCATGTGTCATATGGGCTTCTGTGGGCAGCAAGCAAGATGCCAGGGAGTGTTGGTGCTGGGCACGGAGCAGGTCGTTCCCCCGCACGGCGCAGTGCGGCCAGGACGGGCTGTTGGGATTCACCACCTTCAGGGAGCAAATGTGAGGAGAATAGGAACAGTTTTTCACAGTGTCTCTTCTTTCAGGGCTTTGATCCCTTTTTCATTCTGAACTTGTGCTAGTATATGGAAAAAAAAAAAAAAGAAAAAGTCGGACTTTGTGTACTGAAATCCGTCCCTAGATTCATCTTCTGGGTGTCTGGAGTTCTCTGGTCACACTAGGATCAGGACTGTGCAGTATGGGATGGCCAGTGACAGAATTATATCGAGGTCTACGTTTTTCACTGTGGTAATTTGGTACCCAAATCTGCTGAATGTTTCAATGCCTGTATTCAGTCCAGCTCTGTTTGACAACTGTGTGTTCCCATCCCACCAAAATCAGTGTGTACTTTTAGTGCTGTCCTGGCTTAAGGTTTAGCCATGGCAGCTTGACTGGGATCCTGAAGAGAAACTGTGTCTTTGGTTGGTGTGATACCTAAGCTGAACTGCGTGGATGCTACTCAAGTTCTACACAAGGTACAAACGAAGAGGCCCAGTCAGCATAACAGAAGGGAATCAGAGGATTTTGCTGTTACATTCAAGCAAGGGGAAAGTCATGATGTTTGGTTTTCAAAGGTAGAAACCATTTTTTTTGTCCCTGTTTTATTAGAATGCCTTATGTCACGTCACTCAAGTGGCTACTGAGGAAGCACATATTTTATCCAAAGCCTCAGGGCCTTGTGGCTTTGCTTTTCTGAGGCATTCTTTATATAAGAGGTTTATTATTATTCCTTGGCCAGTTAGATATGAGTTTATTCACAACATTTTACAGCCTTTTTGAATTAGCTTTTGATCTGTCTGACCATGGCTTGATTTATTCGCTAGAGTAAGGGTGAACTTGACTCATACATATTTCACTCCCGGTGATGATAGGTGAACAACTGTGTTTAAAAAGGCTAGCATGTGATGAAGAGATTTCAGAGCCAACCCTAGCAATTGTACAGAAGCAAAGTGCTTCGAGAGAGCTGAACATTTGCTCGGGTGCTTTGCTGTGTGGGAGTTGAGTATGAGTGGAGAAGTAAAGAGCAGGAGTTTGGATGCAAAATGTAGGTTCCTTGTCCAGCCCAGTCTCAGCTACATGCCAAGCTTGTCCTCGTGGGCTAGCAGGAATTGGGGGAACTAATTGGTAGAGAAGACACAAGCGATGAAGGCTGTCAAGGCTTGAGGCAATGAGTGTCCCTGGACTTGCCTCACAGTTCCCATTTCAGTACATCTTGGAGCCGTTCTCTCCTGCTGTCATTCCTTTTGGCCACAGTTACAATGGGAGAGAATTGGGAAGCTGCTTCATGTGCTGAATTAATGGGAACGGGAAGAGCTGACACTGTGTCTTGTTGGCCCCTCTTGGGTCAGGAGATCATCCCAGGCTCGTTGGCCAGTGTTGGCAGCCGCAGGACCCTGGCTCATAGAGATAGCTCCTACCATTTGGCTGATGGGGATAGTAAAAGGGTAGTTATGTATGTTGTCCGGAGAACCATAGAACTAAATAAATGTGACAGCTTTCTTTTGACATCCGAGCCTTGCTGCTGTCGCTTAGGGTTTTTCTTTTTGCCACAAAACATGAAATCGCTGTCAGTTTGATGGTATATAACAGTGTTCCTGAAGCACAAAGGTTAGAGGGCTGGTAGGTGCGTCAGAATTATTTACGTTCGTTGTGCATAAAATGGCACTTGGGGAGCAAGGCAAGCTGCCAAGAAGGAGAGGAATCTGGATCGTCTGGTTGCTCTCTTGTATCTCTCAGCACTGCATTGTCAGGGTGGAATTTATAAAAATTGCTCCAAAACAATATCATCTTTCTCCAAATGGATGTGGCCCGTCTGTTGCAGTGATGTTGTTATTGCTGTCCTCATGACAAAGCGTCTATCAAGCTCTGCTTTGTTTATAAACAAATCTGCCTGCCCCGCATTGCAAATGCATAATTTAAGGAGAAAATACCATACCAAAGGAATCAGTTAATTATATTTCAGGATCCCAGCGGGGAATGCTATCTCAGAGTATTCAGTCAGATCTGACCAGTGGAGTTATAATTAAAAAATGTCCCCTGGGAGGAACTTGTAAATTATTTACTGTAAGGGGCTTTTCCGGTCTCTTTTAGTTTAATTACACAATCTGAAAGAGAAAGGCCTCAGAAACAAATCAGCTAAGAGGCTGAAATGGCTTTGTTAGAATCACGTTTCTGGCCAAGCAAGTGGAAGGCTGTGAGCAAGGTGACGATACAGGGCGGATATTTGGGAGCTGGCATTGCTCATGCTTGTAGGTAGCTCGCATAGGTTTCGGGATGGCAAGCTAAAGTTCACTATGCTTGGTTGTTCTTGCTAAATCATGATGCAAAAGGTACAAGAGTTGGTCTTTGCTGTTTTTTGCTTGGTTTTTCACTGCTATTTCAACTTTCCCTCACGGTACGAATTTTCACTTGAGAGCACCAAAACGTCCATGCTCACAGGCTTTGGTTTGGGCCATCATGTCCAGTGGCCTCGAAGAGCGGCCGAGTGCTCCGCAGGCTCAAGGGACAGCGCCCCATGTCCCCGTGTCCGTGTGCTTTGCGGGAGGGCATGGACTGATTTTTGTGGCCCTTCGCTAGGGTGCAGGTGTATGGGCTGTCAGAGACAGGAAGAAGATGGTAGGGATGTGTTTTCATATATGATTACAGACACTTAGCTTAATGTTACACAGCAGCTGCATGCAGAGCTGAGGCTTGGTCGTGGAGATGAGTAGCCCGTTGCTCTCCCACCTACTACAGCGTTTCAGTGCAAACCAGCGTGGTCAGCCCAGGGCCAAGAGACAGGCCCACTTGCTATTGATGGCTCTTTCCTTTCCGAAAGCATGGGTGAAGCCTGGCTTGTTTGCCCTCCCTTGTAAAACACTTTTTAAGTGTTTTGCTACTGAAGTTCCTCTGGAGTTGACCTTTGCTGCAAGGCAGATGGAGTGATCTCTGGTCAGATGTGGAGAGAGGAAGTTAGGAGGCCAGAGTGCTCCTCTCATCTCAACACTGACTCACTGTTTGGCAGAGAAGGAGGCA